TCTATCTATCTATCTATCTATCTATCTATCTATCTATCTATCTATCTTCCACAGGATAGTCCTTGGTAGTCTTATTCACACAAGATTTGTTGAATGTTCCTTCAGAGCTATCTAAATTGACAAACAACCACCCAGTCCTATAAGAGGTAAATTCCATTGGCTATTACTACTTACAGTACTAGGGAACATGGTGTTTTTTCCTCAACACCCTATTTGTGGTTATAAATTAAGATTCCTCCAGACCTATGCCATCAATATGCCAAAAGAATAAGATAGTCTTTAAAAAGTGCCTTTCCAATGAGCTCAACATTATAAATTTGATACACAGTTCAAAATATTATACTAGCATACCAGGTCTTGGTCATTAGCTTGCGAACACTTCTTGAAAAGCAGTTTGACAGTTGGTAATTGTAGCGGGATATCATATTTGAGAAGCAGGGTGCTCAACTGGGCCTGAGACAGAAATCCTGATTTCCTGGGATCCCTCTCCTTGAGCTCTTCATTCAGGCTGGCCAAAATAGTGAGGCTTATAGGATGCAGCTCAAATTCCTTTCTGAGAAGAACTAGAAGAGAATCATCCTCATCCTTTGTCTCTGGCAGAATGCCCTGATGAAAGAAATACTATTATTTTAACTGTCTTTTCCAAATTGTTTCTATCTTTCCCGCCTGATCTAATAGGATATGGGCACCATCAGATAAGGTCAGTCAACTGATGGGGTTTGGGAGGAGGGCCTTTTCTGCCATGGTGCCTGATCTGTGGAACATCATTCTACCTGAGATTAGGTTAACCCCTATCCTGATGACTTTTTGCAAGGATCTAAAAACTTGGTTTTGTACCCAGATCTGGACCCAGAAGTGTAATGAACTCATTTCTTGGCTTTATTGACAATTATTTATGAAACTTGGCTGCTACGTTTTTTGTTTCATATTTTGCATTTTTTAAATTTTATTTTATTATAAGAGTCATTTAAGTGAGAAAGGTCGCTGGATAAATGAGATGATAGAAGGATAGATAGATAGATAGATAGATAGATAGATAGATAGATAGATAGATGAGAGGGAGACAGAGAGACAGAGACAGAGACACAGACACAGACACACACACACATAGAAGATGGATGGATAGATAGAGATAGGTAGGTAGGTAGGTAGATATAGATGGAGATAGATTGATAGATAGATGATAGATAGATAGATAGAGATAAAGATGATAGCTGATAGATGATAGAGATAGAGGTAGAAATCGATAGATTGATAGATTGATAAATCAATAGATCGATACCTAGAAATCTCAGAGTGCCACAAAATATATAAAAATGATAGAGCAAAATTAAGAATTTACATAGACAAACAGTTACTGAGGCCCAAAGCTTGAATAAATAACTAAGTTTTCATTTTATATTTGGGGCCATAGCACAGAAGGCTGTATCTTTCATCTTCTCATAATGTGACTCTCCCAATGGTAGAACTCGGGAGAATCCCCTTAACTGAGCTTACTATTTGTACTAGAGGTTTACAACAGAAGTATTGATGGAGGGAGTAGAAAAAGTCAAGGTAGTAGCCATGACCACACAATTGAAGCCTCACTCTTTTGATGAGTGTTGTAATGTTTTCGATTTAGATGTAAAAAAGCAATGGGGCTTCAGGTCACAGCCAGCATCTTGACTTTTTCAGTTACCACTGTATGCCCCTGATTTAGCACCATTTCTATCCATTTCATAACATATAATGGATATTATATATTTTGTGATACCTGCCCTTTCTCTCTTTATGACTTCCTTTATAGAATTGATAAGTTGTCTACTATCTTTTCCAAGCAGGTTTGAAGAATTAATTTTATATCCAAACAATGTTAATTATGTGTGTGTCCTTGGATATGGATATGTGTGTATCTCTAAATCAAGTCTTGGCTCCAGGCAACTATACAGATAAGTCCCTGCAGTTTTCTTGGCAACATTTCTTGGCAGTGGTTTGCCATTGTCTCAATCCTTGGGCCAAGAGAGAATGACTGGCCCAAAGTTACCCAGCTGACTTTGTGCTTAAGACAAGGCTAGAACTGAGTCTCTCAATTTCTAGCTCAGTACACTTTACACCAAAGTGTCTCTCATTTTAATACTAAATAAATATTAAACATAAATATTTGTGATCAAGATATTTTTAAAGCACACAAAAGTACCAGCAGAGATAAAAAGTAATATCACATTGCTGTTCTGCAAACTTCCCAATTATGTAGAATTAGATATATTTATGAACAGTCACAAATTTTTATGAAAGAACAGAATTTTTCAACTGAGATGCCATAACCGAAAAGGCCCTCTTGATGGTAGATGTTTCATTTAGCATGACATCTGGTCAAGGATCTAGTAAAAGAGGACTGGTAGAAAACCAAGGTAGCTATGTGTGGTGATCCTTCAGATCATCTGAATATAACTTAAAAATTAATTTGCCAACATTTTGAAATCAGTCCAGAAAAGACCTAGGATCCTATTCACAGGTGAAGCCATGGACACATTCATTCAAATTTTTTTACTACCGGTTCTGTGGGCATGGCTTGGTGGGTGTGGCAGGGAAGGATACTGCAAAGTCTCCAGCCAGAGGTGATATTTGCTGGTTCTCCGAACTACTCAAAATTTCCGCTACTGGTTCTCCAGAACTAGTCAGAACCTGCTGAATACCACCTCTGGGCATACTACAATAAAACTATTTGGCTTCAGTAAACAAGCTCCTTATAATACTTTGGTAAGAAAGTTTTACCACTGTGATAAAATACGTTGGACTATTTCTCCCCTTTTGGAAGATGCTTATGAAACCCAGTGTAACTACTGAAAGTTTAATTGTGTTTACTTACCTGTTGTTGTAATGAATTCTGATCTTCAAAAGATGGTTTCTTGATAGAGTGAATATAAGATAAAGACTTATCTCCACAGGGTGCAGTAACACAATACAAATTTAGTGGTTTTTGTTCCTTAAATAAGGAACAAAAAAAAGAGAAATAAATAAAAATAAATTTTCATTCTGTAAAATCAGTACAATACTAACACCCTTTTAACAAGTAAGGGCAGGCAACAGTGACAGCATTCATAATAAGACATGATGATATGAAAATGATGATATGTACATCATGACATCATTATGCTCATGAAACGATAATATCACAAGATCTTATAGATAATATAGAAGACCACAGTTACTTCATTCCATGTCCTCATTTACTCTCATGCTATCTCTGTGATCACCCATTGAAGGCCACCAATGAAAGGTTGGTCTATTAGTAGGACTGATCCCAAGACTTTCCCATCTGTAACTGAATGAGAAAATGAAGGGACTATAACACTTGTAACAACTTACTTTGTTGTCCACAGATCTGATAACATTCTCTGTCTCTGTTTGTTTGGATGTATATTTTTCCACTCCATCTTTGTTCTGAGATTCAATATTCACACCATTATTGATCTGCTGACCAGGTGCCTTATTGCGGTCTGGATATTTTCCATTTCTCTGTCTTATATTATGCAGAGGTAAAGTTTGGAGCATGGAGTGTGCCTCAGGTTTCACAATCTCCTTTGCTTTCCTGTGGGTGGGAAGTATTCAATATATATTTTGGCACCGAGATGTAACTACTTTACTTTTTCTCCATTTACATCCAAAATATTTATTTTATGTAACATTTGTTCATTAGGCAGAAATGAACCAGTGTAATCAATGAATGTAGCCCCAAAAGGCAAACTTGTTTCATCTATATCTGTTGTTGAACCACTAAGACGCTTGTGGTGTCATCACCAGGAAGCATATGACTAGATTTTGAGCTCATGGTGGTAACAGCAGTTTTATGCCTTCAAATAAGCAGAGAAAATATAGGCTTGATAAATGAATGAATGCTTGAATGGATATTTGAAATAGAGGCTCTCCCTTACTTATCAATCAATAAGGAATAATAATCAATAATATTTAAAAATTCAAGTTGTAACCAGGGGTGGGATGCAAATACTTTTACTACCGGTTCTGTGGGTGTGGCTAGGGGAAAAGTGGCCATGTGATTGGGTAGGTGTGGCTTCTTCTTTTTTGCAGCACCCCCCCATGCTCCATTTTTTGGCCTCCTGGACCTCAGGGAAGCCTCCTGGGGGGCATTTTTGCTCCCAGGAGGTTTCCCTGAGGCCCAAAAAGGCAAAAAAAAATGGAGCTGTGCCCCCCGTTCCCCCTTTTGCCTCCTGGGCCTCAGGGAAGCCTCCTGGGTGAAGCCGTAAAGACAGTGAGGGGGACCCCGGGACAGCTGATCATGGGAACAGCTGATCATCAGGAAGGGAAAACAAGAAATACCTTAAGGAGTGACTGGGTGGGAGAAAATGTCATGCATGCGTGATAAGAACTGACTGAGTGGGGAGGGGAGGGCTGGGCGGAGAGGGGAGGGGCCAGCCGTGGGCATGATTTGCCAGTTCTCTGAACTGTGCAGAATCGTAACAACCGGTTCTATAGAACCGGTCCGAACCGGTAGAATCCCACCCCTGTTTGTAACCATTTAGTTATGTCTGACTCTTGGTGACTTTATAGGCAAGTACTCTCATGGTATCCTGTCAATTTGACAATAGGATATGATTAATAGTAGGTGGTGGAGGAAAAACCATCAATGTTCTCTTCTATTTCTTCCTTTTTGTGAGATTTCAGATCTTACACATTACGGATACTTCCTGCACTTGTTAAATCTAGACCTCTGTACCATTATCTTACAATGATTCTGTTATATTTTGTTGAAAGACAAATGTTAAGGAAATGTTATTTCTTGGGATGTCTCCCTTCTCTGTGAGATCTATGCAAAATACAAGGAAAATACTGTTGCTTAGAATAGAGAAGTGGTTGCCCCATCACAGTTTCTCATTATGACATCCATAAGAAGGATTTGCCCTGTAATAGAAAACTTCAGTTGAAGTTAAGCCATCTAACAAGGTACAAAAGAAATGAAGCTTTGGCTCATTCAATCAGTTTGAATAGAAGCAAAATGACATGGTGAAAAAATAAAATAAACTGCTCCTTTACACCACAAAGTCTTTGATGAAAAGTACAAAGAAGTTATTCTATATAATTGATAGAATTGCGTACATAAGTGGCTTCAAGGCTGAAACAGTGGAAGGGGAGATGAAATAATCGGAACTAATTCAAAGATTGTCCTATTTAATGATCCCTGGTTAACAGAAGCCAGGTTTGTATGAACCCAACACAATTTTGTTTCTTACAAGTATGTCTGAACACCCAAGAGAATATATATCTTAGACCTGCAATATTGCATTAAAAGCATCTAGGACAGTGGTCCTGAACCCTTCTGGCTCGGCAGACTGGTAGAGGTGATGGCAGCAGGGGAAGAGAGGATGGTTTCTTGCACATGCCTGTGTGCACACGCACACCCACCCGCCACTTCCGTGACCAACTCAGGATTTGTAAATGCTATAACAATAAAAGAATAATTTATCCTCCTTCCTAGGTATTTAAAAATAAAACTGAGGTAAAACTATTTAAGCTCTTTAATTTGTATATTATTATGTGCTCTTCAATGGAGGGAATCCAAATCTTTTCCTTCCGGTTCTATGAGAGCACGCACAGCACTCAAAGACCGCCTTCAGGGTCAGCACTGGTGAGCTGAGCTGTTTTTTAAGCTCAGCTGAGGCACGGCAATCTGTTCGGCTGCACAAATCAGCTGAGCTAAAAAACAAGGGAATATAGGACGGAAACAGCAGGGGCAGGAGGGCGGGCCAGGCAGAGGTGGTATTTGCCGGTTTCCGAAGTACTCAAGCGTTCTGCTACCAGTATGCCAGAATCGGTCCAAACCGGCTAAATAACACCTCTGGTGCTCATCCTGAAATGGATTAAAAAATGAAATGTTTCCCTATTCTCCTAAATGTCCTGATGCTGATAATAATATTTTAATACCAGGTATTAGCATTTACTGCATTTTAATTGCAATATATATTTTGTGGCATCTTTGATATTTTAATTAAAGACATAATGCCATGAATTCTAATCAAAATTATATTTCCCCGAGATCATACTTACCCATCACTTTTCTCTACAAGGCATCGGACATATTTGCTCCCAATAATCTTTATTACAGTCTCGTAATTTGTACCAAATCCATAAGGTAGGTTTCTTACTGAAGCCATTACCAGTTCCGTCTTGCTCTCCCCAAAGGATCACTTTCCTATAATTTTCCTGGAGAAGTTTGTTTCTTTAAAAATGGAAACTGAAAGTGGGTACGCAGGTCCTGCAAATATTTTAGGAATATTTGGGTATCAATTCACACAATAATGAAATAACAAAAGCTTGGTTGAAGAGCTTATAAATTAAATGCCTTGTTTAAAAGGAGCCCAGGAAAGTAAATTAAGGGTGAACAAAGGTAAAAGGCTGTATTTTTCATATTCATACATTTATCCTGAAAGAATTTCCCACACAATTGACCCAATTCCAGCACAATATTAAGATTAGTTAATAATTTGAGATTTACAGTATATTGGGCCCATATTGGGAATCAGCTTGAGAAGTAACCAATCAACTTATGGGTTGCTATGTAATTGGTACTAGATTTTCATAATAGCTATTGATTCTGCATCTAAAGAAATGGCTGCTTTACAGTGTAGTCCTATGATATTCTAAGAATCTACAAGCACTCTTAAATTCAGTGGCACTTTCTCTTAGTGAAACTTTTACAGGATTGTAACTTTTGAGGATTCTTCAGTATTGATATTTAAATATTATAACTGAAAATATGACATGAGAAAATAATTTCCTTCCAAATACCTTTTATTGTTAATTAATAGTCTGAAAAATATCACTCCCTTTTTACTTTTCAAATTAGTAGCATTTGTAGCAGTTAATAACATAAAAATGGAGCAAGTTATCATTCCTAAATTCTTCATCTCATTGATGCCTTCATAAAATTTCAGATTCTCCCCTTAATCCCAATAATTTCTTATAGGAAAACAATTTAGCTTTAACTAATAGTGCTATGAACAATAACAATAATAGAGACAACTCCAGGCTGCTTTCACTGATGGCTGACCATCCACCCTTGTCTTGCTACTAGCTCTGCAGAGACAACAAAAGATTAATTGATCCCAATTGTCCCTCTATTATTTCTTGACCTCCTATGGACTCCAGACATTTACAGATCCCCCTTTCATCCCCATACATTTATCACTCCCTTGGGTAACCCCATCAATCATTGTGGATTGATACTGATCACTCTGAGGAGCCAGCTTTAGAGACTTCATGGTAGAAAAATACTACAAACCCAGGCTGTCTTGGTAAAAATAGCTGGGCTGCATTTCTTGGGAAAGGCTTTCCAGAAAACCCTTTAAAAATCCAGGAAATTCCTTACTTCTTCCAGAATTCCTAACTTCTTCCTACAATGCTGGAGAGAGCTTGAAGCACGTTTCCCCTTTTCCCCTCATAATCATATTGCTTTAGTATAGTTAGATTTCTCTCCCTTCCCCCAATACCACAGCTAGATTAGTTCAGTGTTTTCATGCTGGACGGTTCCATGGAAATAACCAAGTACAATTTACTAAAGTCTTTGAGATGAACTGAGTTCCTGTTGACTTCATGGACACATCTAACTCCATGTAGCTTTCAGTATTAATTGGTTTGCCGTTGCCTTCTGTTAACTTCTCCGTCCAGATTCCAGTATTTCCATAGAAGACTCCTGTCCATGATACAGTCAGATCTAACCCACTTTCCCCTTTCAAGATTAGTTCACAAGGATCCAATTATCTTATTCTGAATGGCCTAATTGCATCCTGACAGAGATTTAACTTTCCCTAAGTACGAGATAGCTTTTAAAGAAAGTTTGTCATTTGTTCCCTAAGTTCACACTCAGCAAAAAGGAATAACACTCTGGCCTTAAGCATATGGTTTCCTTTCTTCCTTTTGAGATACCCACCTCCTCTGTGCAGTCTTCAAAGGCAACAGGCATCCAGCCACCATAAATGAACTGCTTTTCACAATCACCATAGCAAGGAAGCTGCTGTTACTAAGGACGCAGTGTGTTGTTACTGGGCTGGGCAAAGCTTGTCATTCCATAGTCAATGCAGTGAGAGGCGTGCATTTCAAATAATTGGATTAGCAGACATGCAATACTAAAGGGCTCAAAAGGGAGATAATTTTTTTTTGCCTATCCACCTGGTTGGCAAGCAAAATATTTTTCTACAACTCATAGATTGCAAAGATTTAGAATAATAATGAAAATCAGAGTCTGAACAGTTCATCCCATGATGTAGCCTTTACCCCAGTCTTTTAACCAGAATGCTCAGATGATGCAGTAAATCACTATTATTTTAATTTGAATATATTAGCTGCTCGACTCTAATGGACGCTGGCCGTTTAATAAATGGTCTTCTTGGTTCAAACAGATTAGATCAAATGTTGCCATTATTACATTATTGATAAATCAAAAGTGAGCTCTAAAGATTTGATGGAATTGAATTCAGAATTACATAACTACGAATAGTTGATAGATTTGTGGAGATTGATTAGAATTTAGGAAGGTTAAATAAAAAGGTTGGGAGGAGTCCTATATCCATTATGAAGCAAAAAGTTTAGAAGAACACAAAAAGGATTTGATGTGGGACATAGTTAAGTCCTAGCTTAATTATTTTAAAAATGGCTGGAATTGTCTATTAATGCCAGTTATATGGTAATTGTAGGCAAGTGAGCTTTATATACCAACAAAAATGACAGACATGAGTTTCATCAATGTTTATGTTCTAGAAATTAAATTATGTATATCATGTATGTGAGTTTTTTCCACTCCATCTTATCCTCAAAACTGTGAGGTAAATTGGGCTGAGTGAGTACCCCCAATGAACCTGATGATTTAATGGGGATTTGTTCAGTATTTTAAGCCCTGGACACGAGTGACTAGTACCACTAAAGAAGAATACTTGTAGCTCAGGGTTAAAATAAGAGGTGCCCTCTGAGCTTGATTGTTTTCTTAGCACTGATGATGTTACTAGCTGAGTAATGAAACAAAGGTAGTTTTTGAAAAGCACTAAGGATTCATACAACTGAATTGGTCATCTTCGGGATTTTTAAAATCAAGATATGGACTCTTATCATTATTTAATAACATCATTATTAAAATACACTTCAAAATAAATAAACAAAATGGATGCTTATCCTGCAATAGATTCAAACCCTGGTTCATTCCAGGATACCTGACTCCTTATATGTGAAGGGAAAGTCAGCAGGCCTATTCTTGTTACTTACTGCCAGTAATTCCCACCCATTATTTGCAGCCCACCACCATCTTCAGATAACTTGGCAAACCTACCATGCTGCATGTCAAGGAGAATCAGTGCTTTCCTATCGTCACAGCACGGATTTTATATCTCCTTAAACTACTCTGCAATCTGTACTTTTTAACCTCACAAATTTAAGATTGTACCTTAACATTTGGGGGAAACAGATGGCTCCTGCAGACTGCCAACCTGTTGTTAAACAAGAATTGTTTTCTATCCATAGTCACTAAGCATAATTAACCTTTCAAGTTGATTTAATAAACAGGAGCAAACATTTGCCGTATCATATTAATAAAGAGAGCCATTTAAAGATGCACAGGGTGCGTGTGTTGTTTTCATTCTGGGAAATGCCATCGTTCTTTTGTTTGTTCCTGAAGCTTAAAAAAAATATTCATGATACAGGTCACCTAATGTTGCAAGTACTGCCAGTACTAATTGATGTACACAAGGAAAAAAAATGTTAACATTGTTTTGTTTCTTTTAAAAAACCAGAGAAAATCTTGAGGCAGTGCAGAAACAATGGTGATAGTTTCATTTATAAAGAACTGACTTCCTTCCTTCACAACTGGATATTGCACTGAGCCCAAACCCCAGAAATCTTCATAGATTCTCATAAGTGAGAATAAAAGATATATTCATTTAGAAGGTGTGTGATGTGTATGCAAAGAGAATGTTTTCATCACTACTTCCAAAGTTTCATGCTCTGTGTTAATTCAGAGTGTCAGGGAAAAAAAACAAAAAAAAACTCTAGCTCTGTCTGTCTATCCATCAATCACCTATCTATCCACCCATCTGTCCATCTATTATCTAGCCACCATCTCTATCTATATCTGTGATCTCTCTCTCTCATCTATCTATCTATCCATCCATCCATCTATCCATCCATCTGTCCATCTCATCTATCTCTATTAGTGATGGGTATTGTTGATTGATGTTAAATGCAATGTATTATTGTTTTATATTTTATGATTTCACTAATGCAGGGAGGAAAGAACTTCAAAGAATAGGAATGAATAAGAAATATTGTTCCATCTGTTAATACGCTGATTGATATTTTGGGTATCAGCAGACTTTCTCCATGGCCCCACTTCAAAAGATAGTGCCTGCTTTATGCTCAAATCATTTTTAACATATGATATAAATAAATTGCCAGCTTAACCTCATATTGAAAATTGATGATCTGCCAAAAAAAAATTACACACATTTATGTATGATTGAGAAATGTGATATGATTTTTTTAGTAATTCATACTTTGCAAATCTGTAGGTAAAGTAAAGGTAAAGTAAAGGTCTCCTCATACATATGTACTAGTCATTTCTGGCTCTAGGGAGAAAATCTGTAAGTAAATTCAAATAGGCATAAAATTTTGCAATGAAATGTGCAATACAAAATATGTAAAACACATCTATAAAGAGACTAAATTTCCTAGTTACATTACTACACAAACTCCTTTTTTTTTTTTTTTTTTACTTTTAAGCACTATCATCTTCTAATTAAATCAAGGAGTCCCAGCTAGTCAGTTTGACATAAAGTGAATCCATTGAAAGATATGATTGATTTTTAAACCTTTGTTACCCAAAAATGCTGCATAAAGGGATACAGATACTTTAGAACTGGGGCTGAGGATGAGGCTATTAATAATTACAAAAATTAAAACAAAAAACCAGCTACAGTGAAATGAAATTAAAAACACTTAAACCACATACAAATTGATTATTTTTGAGCATTTAACATATGAGAAGGAAATATCCAGGATAACAGAAAAAGAGAAGATACTGTAAGTACCTTTTAATGTCCCCTTCAAGAAAAAAACAGAAATATATTTTAAAACTTATTTACACTTCTATTGAAGAAAGTTATTTTTAAAT